TAACGGTGGTCGTGGTTTTAAGATGGACGATGGAAATGCAAGATATTCATGCTGCATTCATGAAGCCATTAAAAAGATGATACTTCATGCCCATAAGTAATGGACATTTTGAAAATAAAAAATCAACCTGACAGCAAAAAATCATTCGTCAACACGGCACTATGATTTTACATAATACACATATCCACCGCGGAATGACGCTCCACGCATGCAGTAAACAAATTGCTTGTAATTTTTATTCCTGGTGATTTTGGTTCCAAAGTTCTTTTACGCACTAACGCAAGCAAACCGCCAGAGGGCGACATTGATGTGGTTTTAAATCAATTTGATCTGACAACATAGGGGCAGGGGAGCGATCCAGCCATAAACTATTGACAGTTGATAATGGATTGTTACCTAAAATAGCCGTAGCATAATATATCTCGCAATGGATGTCGTTACAACTTCCCCTTGGCCTCAGCATCCCAACAGCGAATACGTGTATGAATGCCATCTTGTATTTCCCCAGTGTATATCACTTCTCATTGGGGCCATTCCACGTGGGAAAATTCAGCAAGAATTTTTTTTGTAAAAAGTTGATTTGACGTAAATAACATCTGTTTGTGTGTGTGTGTGTGCATCGGATAACTTTACCACAAAATATCAGATTATTATATTTTTGTAACTACTCACCGGATGAGATGTGAGAGACTAAGAATTGTTTGTTGCGGTTGCGACTTGCGACAAAAATATACCACATGCCTGGAAACTGCGAGGACCATGAATCGGAATTGCACACGAGCGGATGGGGAAATCCCTTTTTTCTTAAAGAACATAAAGAACAGATTGTGATGACTTTCCTGAATGTATCAATTGTTAGTATAATATACGAGTTTTGCAATTTTACATTGTCGGAGTCAGCCCACCGACAGTGGACAGTATAGACCGACAGACTACGAGACCGACAAAACAAAGATAATTATAAAAGGAAACAGAACATTTCGGTCTCGTTGGCTGTCGGTTCAGAGCGCCCTCAAAGAACCGACATTGTTGATATAGTGGGCTATAACTTACATTGTCATTACGGTCTTACAGTGCTAGTAAAGTCCATTAGACTTTTTAGAGATGGTTTCTTCGTCATTCTGCTGTCGTAGACGGGCATCATCGGAAACTGAACATCAGATTGATTTTTACGAACGGGAGATTGACTCGGACTACCAGCCATGGTAAAGTTCGTTTGTGACAAGTCATGTGACCCTACCGAACTAGTTCGGTTGTCATGCCTTATCAACGACTTCGAAGGCAATCTCGGGGTTGGGTAGAGGTACCGACCACGGAGACACTGTACGATGTTGAGTTCGGACATCCTCATAAATTAATTAAAGTTCCAGATTTTGCAGTGAGGATGGGAAATTTTATGATCAATGATTGCCCCTTTTAAAATTCACAATGTCGACTGGGCACAGAATTCAACCATTTTTATCGAGCATTAATTGCTGCCATGGATGTGGATGCTAAACATGCAGATTAAACATTTACGATAAGATACCCAGTGCAGAGCAATAGCGGGTTAAGCTTAACGAGCTTTCGTCTTCCATTTGGTTTATAAATCATTCCCCCAATATATTGCCTTCTTCTCAAGACTATATGCAATCAACTCATGTTCACACGAACGATTCAAAACCAAGAACGTTCACACTCAATCATTGATATTATCTCCTCGATATCAGAAAATTCATAGTTCATCAGAGTTCAGATGAGTTCATCATGAAGGCAATTCATTCTCCTTTCAATATTATGACGTAGTTATCTATCTAGCGCCAGTTTTCATAGGGACTTAAGCAGGGCTCCAACTTAGCCGAGTTGGAACCTCGAGTTGTGGCGAGCTGGCGCGATCTTATGGCAAGCCGTTTTATTATTAATTAATATCAATAAATCAATTCTTGTTATCAAGAAATAATTTTATGTTGTAAAGCAATGGTAATTCTTGATATCAAGAATTCGATTTCGTGATATCAGGAATTCGATTTCGTGATATCAAGAATTGAATTCTTGATATCAAGAAATATGTTTTAATGATAAAACTGCTTGCCACAAGATCGCGCCAGCTCGCCACAACTCAAGGCTCCAACTCGGCTAAGTGGGAGCCCTGCTTAAGGTGTTTGGTGAACGTACATGCAAACCTACCAGATGCCAAGCGAGCTGAGGAGGCATTTCATACAATAATATTTAATCAATGGAAGTCACGACTCTCTCTTCAAGATCGACGAAGCATTGCCAGGCAAAGGTAAATTCTGCTTGCGCACTAAATACGAACATATAGCTAGGTCGGGTTACCTCATGATCGCACCTCATACATCATACCCGATTCTTACATTAAATCAAATCATGTATGGAGACATTTTCGGCGTTTCATTACCCTCTTCGTTCGTTGTTGATGGGCAGACGGTATTATGCAAAGGACAGTCCTGCATTTGCATTTGCCAGTTCAAGTATTTTCCAAGAAAGACATTCGAGATGAAACTGACACTCCTCTCAACAATATTGTTCGCATATGTGACTGACTGAGAAGTACATAATTATATTTCGGAAAGAGAATATGGACAACTCTCTTCAAATGCAACGATTTCAAGGCCTCCGAAAAACGCAGAGCCTCGGATCTACGTTTTTGTACACAGAATAATAATATTGATCCAGACGACATTGAAGAACTGTTGTTCACTGTGTGAATTCTTGCTGAGTCTTTTCAGTTAATATTCTGTCCCATTGAAGTCAGGATTCGAGTACAGAATTCATTCTCATTTTCATTGTGCGCTTAACAATGACAAGTGACGTCTATTCAGTCCGACTCAACAGAAATATCCCACTGCAGGTGGAACACTAATATTGTTGGATATTTTTAGACGAAGAAAAAAATTGTACTAGCTCGAAGGCATCAGTATGTTTATGAGACAGAGCACAATACAGTTTTGCTCATGTTGGGCATGTATCTTTTATTATAGATGTAATTTCTATGTATTATTAATTATGTTTAATGGCTAGCTGGCATACGAAATGAAGAAGAAAAAAATATTTAAAAAACAATAAAAATGATATTAATGGAAATGGAAGAATATAATATTACAAGGGTTTTTAAGTAAGTAAACCCTTTTTAATTGACATACCGTAATGTACATGTCTCCTTGGAATGCTAGAAACTAAATAATGGCATAGCGTTGTGGGGGGATTGACCCTTGTGTTACCGTGAGGGGGAGTACAGGTCTTGGAAAGTCAGGGAAAACGCATAAACAAGGCCATTGATTAGGAGCACGGTGCGGGAGGATCCTATCATTCTCTTATCATGTTCATTTTACCCTCCCTTTCTACTTTGTCTCTTCTTATTTTTCTATTCCCCTCCCTGCCGTTTAAATGGTGAGGTGTGACACGTGCCCCCTGCCTCCTTCAGCTATACGCACCTGCATGAAGCTAATTACAAAGTACACATCTGCACCCTCATTAGCAATACACAATCGTGTACAAACTAAATTTCAAGACTTTTATTTGCCTATTACGGATACTGAACTGATAAAGGTTTGATTAATCATTCGAATCAAATTCGTCGACAATCATTTCCACCGACTGAGAAGCCATGCGCTCATAAAGCTCACAACTTCTGTTTCGAGCAAAGCGGGTTTTATGTTACAGCGCCATCTATCAACCCAAAGTAGGGGCACCTGTAAAAATCTGCTACATTTCATCTCAGGATTAAGGAGCTCCAAAATAACATTACTGGTATCGCACCAAAGTGTGAGTTTTTCCTATTTGTTGCAATGCCAAGCTAATCTGAAGCAAACTGAACTTTGACAGTCAATAAGACAGTCACCGAACGTCGCCATGATTTTGAGGGAGAAATCCAAATATTTCTTTTAAAATGAATTACGACATTCATACTTCAAAGACAATAATCATGAAAATATTATGGGATCATCACAAATGAAATAAAGCAGCTGTCTATATAGATGAACTCGATGACTCTTTACATTTAGGGGGTAAAAACCATCTGATTATTCAACTTGAAATGAAATATTGAGAAATTTGTCATTTATCGCAAACACAATCGTAACTATTTTCGAGAAAAAAAAATCAACTCAAGGTCAATTACAATAGCATATTGCACATTCCATAGACAACATGGTCGGATTACGTAAAACTTCATTATCATGTCTGCACTTTTCAATTGTTGAGGCACAAGGCTATTGAAATTGATTTTTTGAAAGTAGTTGGCATCGTGTTTGCAGAATTCATCAAGAAAGGATGAGACGCTCTATGTGCGCATTGAATATTGTGGCAATCAATATATTACTTTTCATTATGAACAACCCCGTCCCCAAAAAAAACAAAAACAAAAACAAAAACAAACAAAAAACTAAACTAAACTAAACCAGACTAAACCAAACAAATTTCATAAACTATTTTTATGTTCCTGCGACCAATTCACCGGCGTACTGACACAAATGAAGTATCAAAATATGCTCGTCTGACCGTAATTAAATGCCTAAAATCCCTGAGCTTCCGGGGGTTCCGCCCCCTGGACCCCATCAGGACCCTTAATGCGCATATGACCGTAATTAAATGCCTAAAACCCCTGAGCTTCATGGGGATCGGTCCCTGAACCCCACGCCAATTTACACTCCACTTTACTTTAGCACCTCCGCCCTCCCCACTTTGAAAAACGTTCCGCAGGGCCTGCATGTAACATGTTTATCCCTATAGTATTAATAGCACCCCAGTCATATCAAATAAACTGACCCTGAAAGACGAAAAAAATACATTAATCAAATTATCGGTCGGTTTTGGGTCAATGTTGAATCGGTTTGTCACGGTGACTAAGGTATTATTACTCCAAACTCCAAACCTAACCTAATATTCTTAACGATTTTTTTTTTTTAACGGAGTAATTGTCGCCGGAATAAATAACGAGTTCCCCCTTCTGTGCTTGTTTTTTGTATATATACATCTATTATTTAATTAACTTTACTTACAGGGACCGCAGACCAGCCGGAATCCTGTGAGAATACGGTCATCTCCTCTGTCTTGAAACGTATTCACGGCGATTGTTCTCGGGAAAATTTGAATTCTTTTCAATCTGCAACGATAAATATTGAAGAAGAACAAATATGTGTGTTTAATTAATGTTTATGATAGTAACTTTTAGTAACCTTATACATAAATTACAAAGTCATTTTGGACTCAGAGAATGAAAACAATTTGACATAAATTGATAAATGTTATTGACATTGAAACAGCTACAACATGTAATAACATGTAACATGCACTATTTTGAAATTTGTGTTCCCTTTCAGGGGCGGATCCAGGATTTGCCGATGGGGGGGGGGGGGGGGGCCTAAAATGTGAAAATCGCGCCGACCAATATCTCGCTCAGTGGGGGGGGGGGGGGGGTAGTGATCATAATTTTTTTTCTCGTATTTGACCTCGAAAATGTGAAAATCGTGCCGACCAATATCTCGCTCAGGGGGGGGGGGGGGGGGGGGGGGGGGGGGGGGGTAGTGAGCATCATTTTGGGGGGGGGGTATATGACCCCGAAAATGTGAAAATCGAGCCTACCAATATCTCGCTCAGTTGGGGGGGGGGGGAGTATGCATCATTTATTTTTTGTATTTGACCCCGAAAACTTTTTTTTTTTTTTTTTTTTTTTTTTTTAATTTTTTTTTTAAAGCCAGGGGGCCCGGGCCCGTCGGCCCCCCCCCCGTGGATCCGCGCCTGTTCCCTTTTACAATCAAAACCTTGCTCATGCTCCTTGTAAAGGATTCTTCTTCTTCTTTTGTTCATCTTCAAAAGGGCTATGCAGCCTATCACAAAGATCTGTAGCCAGTTTTGTATATGCAGGCGCACTAAACACCGGGTTTACACCCTACTCTTTGCGAGATGTGTACAGCGTATAATTATTAAAGTGCGTAGGGTGTATAGTAGTAGTATTTATTTCCGTATAAAAAAATAATGCGATGTATGAGATACGGTGGATTACCCATGCACATTCAGCTTACCCGACGTGGGAAAGTCAAGCATGAGAGCCAGTCGCCGATCCGATTGAGCCACGTCGCCACTTTTCATTGGAATAAATGATTTTTGTTTTCATTGTCATTTTTTGTCATGCTATTGTCATGTTATGTTATTGTCATAACTATCGTTAAAGTCATTGTCATGGCTTATTATCTCTGATATCGCTTACGTATTAGCCCCCTCCCCCCCCCCCTCAAGTATTCTGTGGAAAGTATACGCATGCTACACCGTATATGCATACATACTAATTAATCATAATGGTACCAGTAGCAATGTGACACATTATAGGTTTGATGTCAACATTTCAATACACACGATATCCATCACGAGTGCGAGTTAACCATTTACCTTTTACGTGTTGTATGGTTTGCATTAAGACAAAATGTAAACCCCAATAATCAATCCTCTCTGTAACATTGTGCACTAAAATACAAGAAGTGTCGCAGGATGGCTCCTCTCTATTCACCTCACTTTAGAACTTAACAGATTTTTAAAATTTCTCTTGATCTTAAAATGATCATTTTGACAATTTCAAATGAACGTTGGACATTACTGAATTATTTTTGAATAGACAATAAAAGAACCGTCTAATGGATACAAAGCGATGACAAGCTATATGAATGGTGAACGACAAAGGTTCAAATGATAAGCTAATTAATACAGTAAATCGCAGGTGCATGTATTAAACATGGGTAAATTAATCATATTGGCATGGCATAGTGCTTTTACTACTCAGTAGTAGGTGGTCCCATGTTGTTAACGTGTAAATTAATAGCAACTGCGCGCAACAAAGGACTCGAGCACAATTGCTTCAATTAATTTTGTCATTACTTATCGTTACAATTATCATCATCGTTTTTGTATAAATTATTATAATTATCATTAATATTGTTATTATAATTATTATTATTATCATTATCATCATAATTTTTCTCACTATTGTCGATATTTTTATTTTTCATTGATTAACATTAAGTCGAATTGAATTGTATATTTTACAGTTACATCGACAAATTCAAACTGATTGTAAACTTCTCCAATACCCCAATGTGGGTGACAAGGGAATAAATTGTCATTGTCATTGCCATGTTGTCAATGTCACTGAGCTCTGTGCAATTAGATACATAAAATACGTGAAGCGTATTAGGTGAAGAAAACGATACATAGCAACATTTGATGCGGATATTCTTGTTACAAGAAGACAAATATTCACAGAAGTCAGAACAGAGGTCAAAGCTAGAAGTATATCTTACAACAGAATCCAACAGTTTACCATATTCATGGTGATGATTAATGGCTTGACATTACACGAAAACACATGTATACTTATTGATTGGCATACTGCCCATCAAACACTTTATAACATGGTTTGCTTCCGTGTCATAAAATGTGTACTTCAGAGCCAAAATTACACAATATTCGATACATGAATGAAATTATAAAAAAGACGAATCATGAATCCGCCACGGTCATCAAGTAATTCGTTCGAATTCGATCTGCTGTGTATCCAAAGTGCATTAGCCCAGTTCATGTGAACTCGAGGTGATAAATAGCCGCGTCTGATAAAACGGTGTCATAGGCCTACTTATAAAATGGTAATAATAATAATAATAATAATAATAATACAATTGTGTTTACCCATGGAGGCCTCATCAGCAGCAGTGCTGTTCTTCCTGAGTGAACACATGTTTCTCTTGTAAATTTCGTTTGCGGTGAAGAGTTGGCAGTATTTTTCTTGACGTGAAAACTGTGATCACAGAGTGCAATTTACAGAGTGCTTGGGAACTATAGGGTCAATGTAAAAGAAATTAATGTCAAAGGTTTGGGAAACTAAAAAAAAAGATATTAAAAGGGATAAAATAACTATATTTTTTTCTTTACGTGAAATTTGTGAACACAGAACACAATTTGCACAGTGTTTTGGGGAAACTAAGGGTCACTGTAAAAGAAACTAAGTAAGTGCATGCCTAAAAGGGTTGGGAAATTAGGGGAAAAATATCTAAAATGATAAATGTTAACAATATTTCTCTATTTATTATTCTATTGATATTGTAATTTTATGTTGGACTTTCGTATCAGAACATCATCACAATTCTATATGTGACATACTGCAGCTGCGCTCCTTACTCCTCACAATCGTGTTAATACGTAAATCGTAAAGTGATCCTACAGTCGTGCGAGTTGGGACAATCGGCCCGACACCGTACACGATTCGTCACCCATCGAAGCCCGACCACGACGGTATATATCCATAGTATCTATCAGATGCAAGGAAGATTATATATCACATTCCTTCACAACTATAAGGCCAAATCAAACTGATTCCTAGTTTATCATCCTGCATTTTCGAAAATGACCAGGAGGAGGTTATTTTATATTTGGTCTAATTTCTTTACATACAAATGTTATTAATCAGGCAAATTTCAACATGAACTACATCTCTTTCCCATTATTTGTACATGCACTAGAGGCTCAAAACATTCAAAAATTACATTGTATTAATCATTTTTGTTATCCCAATGTCTAGATGCCCTCAGATGCTTATTTATTTCATTTCAGAACGAATATAGGTATCTCGACAAAGAAGGCAACCGAAAAAGGGATGAAGAAATGGACGAGAAACAAGGAATGATTTTATTTGACCTCATCCTAATTGCTATTTCGCCGGGGTTGCGCTTGAATGTGAGATTGGTTTAAAAGAGGGCCCATTTGATCCTCTATTCTACAAGAATGTTTTATTATCACTCGTTCACGGTAAGAGCTGTTGATATAATGCACATGTATCTCTCCACTATTTTAATTAATAAAAACAAAGTCAGTGTATGCACTGCATTGCGAAACAGGTTTTGAGTATATAAGAAAAATACGTTTTTTCATCTGCTTATCCTACGCCAATCTAAAGTAAAAGATATGCCACATTTACAATGTTTTCCATAATAACTCTGTCTCAGAGAAGTGAGAAGAATGACTCATAGCACTGGGACAAAGTAATTCAAATACAGGTACTTCAATTGGCGGAGGACTGCCTGGAATGCTCCGCCGTGGAGTGAGGAGAGTGCATTGTAAGAAACAGTAGCTGAATCGACTCACCGAGGTAATATAACACTGTATAAGTGCTTTGATCAATTAATTCATGTATTATTATACTAGCGACACCATACACGGTTACGTGTAGTGGAAAGGCGCTATCTATTCATATTGAGCAGTTATTAACATTAATCAAATTTACTCTCAGTCTTCTTTAATAGGCTCTCCAATGAAAACGATACGCCTAGAATATTGTCTCATTCTTTGAACTCTGTAATACACATTCTAAAAACAGACATCACTATGCTTGAATATATATTTTTTTCTATTACGAATTTTTTTTCTAAGAGACAGAAGCACTATTAAGGTCATTTCAAACAATGATTTTATGCACATACTTTGTGCTTGAATCATTAGCATTAATCAAAATTGGTCTCAGTCTTTTTCAATAGGTTCTCCATTGAAAACAATGCTCCTTAAATTGTCTCAATTTGTCTCCATTGTGGAAATACGACACACGTCACTGTGCTTAATAATTGAACTTAAATTATTAAAAAAATCAAGGATATTTTTGTAAGAGACATCATTAAGATCATTTAAATGAATAATATCGAGTATATACTTCGTGCTTGAATCTACGGTAAAGCAACAAAACCCTTGATCAATGACCACCCACCCACACACACACACACACCCTCGGAACAAAATCAACACACGCACAAAATAATGTTAACAAAAAATAATAATAATGATAATTATGATAATAATAATAATAGTAATAATACCAATGATGATACTTGTAATAATAATTATAATAATAATACAAATAATAACGAAATAATTCCCGGCATTAATTGAAATACAATTTCGCATACTTAATTAATCTAACTAAATTGTGGTCCAAGCTTGTGGTCGAGTGTCCCCTGAAGCGATTTTCCGTTTCAGTTTCTGCCACTGAATAATAGTACATATTACTTTGCAATTAATGTCGAGGTAAAAATCCATTTCAGTTTATTGATGACATCCATAAATACTTTTACTCAAAAGACAAGTACAGCTTTATCACAATCGTGACACATCCAAAGAATTCGATAATGGCTTGCATGCTTTTGTTTTTATAGGGACTATTCACATGAAAGACACAAACTCTTTCTACAACCCTTCTTTCATCCTTCCATATGATAAAAAGGACACTAGTGAAGCTAAAAGATGGGGGGGGGGCGGCGCAAGAGCCACTCCCCTTTTTCGCATTACGAAGGAACGAAAGAAAGAAGGGGAAAAAACAGAGAAGGAAAAAGAAAATGCGACTTTTCCCTCATACCATCCTGAATGGCCCTGCATGATTATGTAGATAATTCTTATTTCATCCACTGAGTACCCCGTCCCCACCCCCCCCCTCCCCTCCCCCATGGCAGTGCTCCGTCAACGTCTGGACTCTCGCTTCGGACAGTCTTGTAAGCGATATACTGGCATCATGGTGTCATGAAAATAAAACACTTTATTCATCATCACCTGGTTACTGCAGAGTGCTCAATTTCTTATCTCAAAGTCAGATGAGATACATGAGTGAAAGGATCTATACGTACATATATGTTGATTGCAACCATACATGCATAACCAAAACAAACTTATCACACAGCGGTATCTTTTTTCAAAGTATGAAAGTATGTAACAAAACTGAAACATAAATACGTAACATAAATACGTAAACATGAACAAAAAAGGGGGAAAGGACCACTGCATACTACTTCTACTAATAATAATCAAGGTTTATATAGCAATTACTACATCGATGATGTCTCTATAGTATAAGCGCTTTGCATAATACATACTACATACACAAGAGACGTTCAATGTATAAGGAAATTAATCATTTAATAGTATTTTTAAAAGGTTTATAATGACTTATGTCATTCTCAGTGAAATTATTGATCTATCTGCAAATTTTAAATGCTAGCACTTATATTGATTTAGAGTCATGCCATACAAGACAATGTCGGAGAGTGAACGGTCGTTATTGATGAGAAACCGATGGTAAAGACTAAAGACATTGCTGTCTTGAGTAAAGGCTCACCTCACGTAGTTTATGCAGGCTCACACTTCCCCGATGGACGAAGGCTATAGGCATGCCATGCGTACTATACAATAATAACTATCATCGATGGATATAATATTTCTGTCCGGTATGCACCGTTAGATAAACACAATACAGTTTTTTATTTTGAAAGGGCTTTTGTATCTCTACTCAAAAACAACTGGAGCAGACTTTTGTTTTGGTGACAGTCATGCTTAGTGGCCGTTCATAAAGTACAATGTACAGGACACACAAACCGTAGATAATAATAATTATGATGGTATAGTCTGTAAAACGACTTGATGGAAAGTCTAACTTCTAATTATTTTGGGTCTATATTTCTATATCGGTTCGTAGTGTCATTTTTGCAGCGCTATAAATATGTATATATCCATCAAGGAAGTGTTGGACAAGTCGGAAGATCATGGTTATAGTCGTGTACATAGAGAACGGACGATTCATTGTGTTTCACTACCTCTAAATATAGGTTTCGATCTCTCTGGAGTCAAGTTTCTATGACGGTGTAATTAAAGGAAACCTCACCCAAAGAATACAATAATGTAGGAATTTTGAAAAAAATTATGTGTTTTCATGCCCTTTGATGTACAATATTCCTTACGAAAATGTACACAAGTTATATAAATAAAGATAATAATGCCTCGTAAACCTACAATCAGAATCACATCATAATCCTACTTAAAATTTGAGAAATTGATATTATGAGCTTCAATGTTTTGAATATATCATTATATTGAATCAAGTTAACCACCATTCCTTCCTAACACATACAAAATAATTACTAAAAGAGTTTTCCGGCGACCCATTGGCTTTTGACAAAAATACAGCTTGAGCACGTTCGTTTCCGACGATTGCGCTAACCTAGTGGATTCTTTCTTGTAAAAAAGGAGCCGGGAGAACAGAAAACAGGGAAGTGGTGAATACTTACTTACTTACTTCTCAGTGGCGGAGACGTGCAGCTGATTTCAACGAACAAAGCCAATACTGAAAGGATCAAGGCCACAAAGAAAGACGGACAAGTTGAAGGAAGGCGACGATGAACAGAAATAAGCGTGCAATCCGCTTTTGAGACAAGGGTGAGGATGCCGGAGAAAAACGGAGGTCGTTTTCACTGAAATGCAAAATGTGTCCATGTGTCCCTCCGTCTGTTTCTATCAATTCGATCTGGAATGCGAAAATATCAATTTGCGATGTTGTCGGAGTTGTGTGGTAATAGTTGTTGCAGCCAGCGAGGCGAATGGAATCCGTTGTACGAATGATGTGGTTCACCGTGAAATTGATGAGAAGGAAATGGGCTAATATGTTATCGCGAGATGTTCAAATGCATTTTGAGCGCAATATAATGCAAGAGTTGGCTCCCCCGCTATCCATGTACTTAACAGGTGAAAATGCTGGATGCAGAGACTTTGCTGCTCACTCTGCATGTGATATGCACGGCAGGCTTTACACCCGCCGTTGCTCTCTTGCAGGCTTGCACGGTGTATTTCATTAGTGTAGCGCGCATGCGTGTGTGTACATGGATGACGGTTCAGTGGATGAGGTTGGAGTTGAACTTGAAAGATGAGAGAGAGAGAGAGAGAGAGAGAGAGAGAGAGAGAGAGAGAGAGAGCCCGGAGAGGAAGGGGTGGTATCTTGGGGTGTGATGGAAAGAGAAAGGGGGAGATTTTGTAATAACTTAATAAGTGGAACAATGAAAGAGGGGGATAGAAGAGGGAGAGAAATAGAGATAAAGGGGGAGATAGTAATTGGAAGGGTGATGGTGGTTATTTTACCTGACTGCTAAGAAAGCATAAATGCTTGTAAATAAGCAACTAGACGGCCGAGGTACCTGGTAATGAATATTAATGCCTAAAAGGGCACTAGCGCATCGTCTTGGTTTTGAACCCGGGTCACCGGATTATACGAGACCACTGCTCTACCGACTGAGCTCGCGCCTCGGTATAAAGAAAGAGAGGGATAGAATTGGGGAGGGAGAAAGAGAGAGAGAGAGAGAGAGGGGGAGAGAGAGAGAGAGAGAAAGAGAGCGAACGACAGAGATGGGGTGATGTTTAGAACGAGTGTTTGGCACGTTTATCATAATGTATAACAGATTGACCATCGAAATACGATTAATATCACTTACTGTCTTTAATTATTTTCGTATAGGCCTACTGTCTATAATACATAAACGAAAGAGGAAGAAAGAACTCGAGAAAGAAGGAAGATCATCTGTGAGGATTGTCTTTCATGATTACTTTCTTATCTAAACGCCATTCATATCAGTTTAGATCTACATGTCTCATCACAGTATTTCTCATGAATACTTGATTTTCCTCTATTAAAGGGACTTTGTAACATTGTTCAGATGAGAGATAGTGGTGTTAAGGTAGTGACTTCAATGCTAGATGTACAATTAAAGATAATCTGGAAATTTGAGAGAAAAACGGACCATTATTCATGGTACAAATTGGGAAAAACTGATCTGATCGGTTCCTTAATTCTCCAAACTATATTATTCTACTTCTATTCTGCTACTTGTCAAAGCCTGTTCAGCATCAAGACAAGGACAATTTAATTACATTTTAGGTGAATGTAAATCGTCACAAAGCAATAAAATGGCTCTACATTCCATTCCAGACAGTAAGTGTTGACAGATTTTTATAGCCTGTTTTATGTATTTTTCTCATGGAAAAACGGTCGGGAAAATTCAAAAATGGTTGGGAGAATTTACTGTTAATCACTGTTAGAGGGTGCCTCACATCAACGCCTTCAAAGAAAACCATAGATATCTTTGTGGTTTGAAAATTTGTTCAGGATATTTTGCATGTCAGAGGGTTAGTATAGTAGAAGGAATATAGTAAGTAACATTTTATACAAAAATTAATCAATTTTTTTTCATCAGCTTTCAACAATGTTACCCCTGGAAGGTCGTAAAATAAAGATTCCAGTCCTCGTCTATCAAGTCCCTGATCCCAGTTAAAGGGACTTTGTAACATTGTTCAGATGAGAGATAGTTGTGCTAAGGCATTGACTTCAATGCTAGATGTACAATAATAAAAGATAATCTGAAAATTTGAGCGAAAACGGACCATTATTCATGGTACAAATGGGGAAAAACTGATCCGATCGATTCCTTAAAATTATTCTCCCATTACTATATTATTACAATTTAATGACATTTTAGGTGAATGGAAATCTCACAAATAAAATGGCTCTACATTCCATTCCAGACGTTTTTTTATAGCCTGTTTTTATGTCTTTTTTTCATGGAAAAACGGTTGGGAAAATTCAAAAAATGGTTGGGAGAATTTAAATTCAGAAGCGCCGCACATCGACGCCCGTTTAAAAACCCGTTGAACTTTGTTAAAAATCTTCATTTTGCGTGAATTAATTTAATTCGTAGTTAGATAATCCTCCATACATTCAAACATAATTTTACGTGTTTTGCATCCTGATTCAACAGATTTGTGAAATCAACCATCACAATGTTACTAAGTACCTGCAGAGAACGCTGTTTTCTAGTTTGTGAACACTGCTGGCCCTTATAGGAAGACGGGGGAACCTTTATCAATCAAGAAAAAGCGTGTATACTAACTTCATTTTTAGGGAGGTCTACCTAAATCTTTAATTATATATAATTATATAATATGTAAAATATAAGTAGATTCCAATATTCAGAGAATGATATTTTTAAGGGACAAAATGGGCCAAACTACTAAAACCTATAATGATTTATCATATTTTTGACGGTCTAGAAAATAGGAGAGCGTGCATTGAGTATGTCCTATTATGGATACGCCACTGAGATGGTAATATTTATTGGAGTGTCTGATCTTAATAGTTACGAGAATTAGTGACCGATTTTTGCTTTCAGGGTCATCCTTAAGTATCAGGTTTAGTCTGAGAGACGCACCACGATGTGCACTTGAAATAAGATCAACGTGCGCGCATTTTTACGACATGTGCGTAAAAACTGTATAATCTTTTTATATTAATAGAGGGCCATAATATATTTCAGTCTGATAACTCAGCATCTCTACATGATTTCGTAAAATTCAATGAAAATAACGATATGTCCTTCATTCTTCCCCAAGAATGTGCATACCATTCTTTTTTAAAGAAATTTGTTTTTTAGGCGGGGGACGTGGGGGGGGGGGGGCTGCTTCTAATTCGTATTCGTATTTAGGAGTTTCCACGATTTTATTCTACTTTTGGTGTAATTAAGAAAAACTGGAATTGTGGCAATATCAACACTCCGCCTCACTGACATGACTGACAATAAAGTAGAAAAAGACGGGAATCTGTAACTCGATACAAAACTTGTTGTCCCTCAATTAATATAATGATAATAAGCCTATATACCAGTGTGATCTATTTTGAAATTTAGTGGGCAATTTGGGTTTTTTTAAAGAGAAAAATCAAGGTAAAATCATTGGAAAGGTGTGTCTATTTCGTCTTTCTGTCATCTCCATTGCGACCAGAGTTGTCACCTCACACTGGGGTTCACGTGCAAACAAAATATCGGCTCGATTGCGAACTGCAGGACAGATTTTGGCTGTCGTCTCGTCCCAATTAATTGATAAATACTGTAAATCTACAAGATCTGAAAGAATAGTATTTAGACCATGTGGTCATGATCATAATTATTCAACTGATTAACCAATATTGCCATAGATGTTGTCAAGGGAATCTTTTATGAAATTAATATACATTCCAACAAATTAATTATCCAATAATTCATGAGAAACAATACAAATTAGTGATGATTGAAGAAATATAATGTTGACGAGAGAATGGAAACCAGTTACGAGAAGTGGTGATTATAGTGATGCAGATTTTTTTCTTCTCTCTTTCTCTCTCTCTCTCTCATTGTTAACAGCAAAATGCATGCAGTACACTAATAAAATTTGCAGGGTCACAAGAGGTCATTAAAAGCAAACAGTACAATTACATCTTTTTTTTGACACAAACCAAATAAATCCGATTTTAATGAAAGTAATCTCATTATTCTGTTTTAAATCCCGTTCTTCGTTTAAAAAAACTAGCCATCCTTTTTGTTTTTGTATAAAAAAAAAGTGTGAACAACAATTTAATTTCAATGTGCAATCAGGCGCGTACGCAGGATTTTTTCAAGGGGGGGGGGGGGGGGGTTAACATTTATAAATCGGGCCGAAAATTTCGCAACGACTCAGCCAGCCGCTGAATAAGCGGGGGGGGGGGGGGGGGGGGGGGGGAGTAAGAGGTCACTTTTTTTTTTTTTTTTGGTCCCAAAAAAATCGCATTCAGCCGACCGCTGAATAAGCGGGGGGGGGGGGGGGGGTAAGAGGACACATTTTTTTTTTTTTGATCTCTAAATTTGAAAATTTGACATTTTGCTCCGTTGGGGGGGGGGAGTAAGGTCAGCTTTTTTAGGTCAACCATGGAAAAAAAAAATCCAAAAGGGGGGGTTTAGAGAAATTTAGGGGGGGTTTACACACAAAAAATTATCAAAGGGGGGGTTTAACCCCCAACCCCCCCCCCCCCCCCCTGTGTACGTGCCTGTGTGCGATGTCATGTTATTTTTACCGAAACGATACAATTATATATCAGCAAATTTTGTGCTTTCAAGAGTACTGCTATGATACCATTCAGTGTGTAGATCTGAACATTTTGCTTAGCTGCAAAGATTTTACCAATTACTTTATACCCTTTCTACAAATCCATCCATCAATATTGCATAATTTGGCAAGGCGAAAAGGAATGCTAGTCTATCTACTTTGCAGTTTGTTTAAAGTAAGCTGTTTCTGATCCCATTAAACTCGGTTCAGTGAACCCCCCCCCCCCCCCCCCCCCAGATTCCTCTTACAAATAAGATTAAGCCTGTCTTACCCACCAACCTTTATTCGTAAAAGAGAAAGATTAAAGATATAAAAGATGTGTATATAGCGCATAAAGCTGGGATACCATGAAAGCGTTTGACTCCTGTTCCTTAAACGAAAATAATCTGCGAGTTCCACCCACTTACCGGTTCGATTGAAGGTCTGGTGGATGAAACGGGAATGTTGACGATCTACAAAATGAAAATTGCCACCATTTCTTGTTAAAGGGACTTTGTAACATTGTTCAGATGAGAGATAGTTATGCTAAGGCATTGACTTCAATGCTAGATGTACAATTAAAGATAATCTAAAAATTTGAGCGAAAACGGACCATTATTCATGGTAAAAATTGGGAAAAACTGATCCGATCGATTCCTTAATTCTCCCATTACTATATTATTACAATTTAATGACATTTTAGGTGAATGGAAATCTCACAAAGCAATAAAATGGCTCTACATTCCATTCCAGACGTTGATTCAACAGATTTGTGAAATTAACCATCACAATATTACTAAGTACATTTAAAGGTATAGACCAGTTTTGAAAACGCCTCCCCCTCTCAAAAAATGAAATGGAAGCCCTTATTACCAATCATGTGAAAT